GGTTCAGAAACGGCGCTAGCTGTCCCTGCTGAGCGAGAGGGATCGCTGAAGGCAAGCATATTAGCCAGAGAGGCACAAGTTTGCCCAGTCCCATCACCCAGCGCTCCCACGCAAGAGGATCCTGGCCAAGCATTTAGGAGGGGGAGACATAGACGTAGAGGGAGCACAAGGCAAAGCCTGGGAAGCCATCAGGGAACGTAGAGGGCTCCTGCGGCGCCTGGCTGCAGCCAGCAGTCAGCCCTGGTGCCCCGCGCAGCGGGAGAGCAGCGCTGGTCACGCGGCGTGAGTGGCTCTTCAGCGAGCGAGAGCAGCGCCCTGGGAAGGGGTGGTGAACGCAGCACCAGGCAGCCAGGCCCTGCCCCGCTCCAAGGAGCCTCCATCCTGCCTTGCCACTGTGGAAGAGGCGGACACGCCGCGTGATGTCCCTGCGGCACAGGGGGCAGGTGCATTTGCACTCACAGCAGGTCTGGTAGCAGCACATGTGGCCACGTGGCAGGAAAACCACCTGGGCCCATGGGAAAAAGGCGGAGGGAAGAGGACATGGAGAAGGTGACTGTCCCATAACACTCCTGGCACCACCATAGCCCAACACAGCACAAGAGAAGGAGAAGGAGGAGCTGGAGGAGACAAGGGTCACCTGGAGGTGTTACAGAGCAGGAAATAGAGCCCAGCACCCTGGTCTCCATTGCGTCGGCTAAGCACAGCCCAGGGCTGTTTGTGCACGTGCATCTGCGTTGTGTAAAGAAAGCATGCGTGAAATGGGCCTGAGGGAAGGACATAGGGCTGAACTGAGCACCCCAGGCTTTCCCGTAGGTCTGACCTGATGACAGACCCACACGGACACTCGGAAAGGTCCTCCCTAAGCTTGTAGGGGCCATGCCCTGCCTCCCTCCCTGCTACAACATCTCAAGCCAGGGTACGTTCAGGAGTCTGAGGGATTAGCATCCAGCCATTGCCATTTCTGACAGCCCAGGGCCAGGTTGGGGACACAGACACGGTGGGGGGGATGTGCCAGACACTGCCAAATGGCACATCTAGGCTGGCCCTCACCCCCTGCTCCAGCACCACACATGCGCCAGGGCCTTACCTCCTGCTCCATGCAGGCAGCGCACCGGCTCTGCAGAGCCCCCAGCTCTGGCAACGCCCCCTGCCCTGCCTCTTCTCCTGCTTGCCCACCAGCCTTGCATGGCTTTCCTCCACAAGGAGAGGCATCTGGCCCTGCAGATCTCACCACTGAAGGCTTAGAGACCTGCAGCCGGTACAATATGCCAATGACCAGGCAGAAAAGAACTGGTGGTACCTGGGCTCGTCTTGGCCACAGTCAGGGTTCTCCTGGACTGGCTTGAGGACTCCATAATGTCAATCCGCAGTGCAAGAGGAGGCCTGTTAGCTTTCGGAGGGGACAGCAGGGAGAGGGCTGAGAAAGAAGGAGAGTTAGGTCCCCAAGGGGACACAGCAAACTCTCAGTCCCCACTGGCAGGACCCAACCATGCTGCGGGAAGCGCCTCCCTCAGGCACCAAAGCCAGGGCTACGGGAAGTCCCTGGGTGCCGTTTGTTGAGCTACAAAGAGCGTTCGAGTGGCTCCAAAAGACGCAGCCAAGTTATGGCTCACCCTGCAAGTGCTCAAGGCCCAGAGCAGCACCGGCATCTCTCCTTACCCAGACATTACAACAGGCGTACTGACACTCCTTCCAGCAAGACCGACAGAGTCGGTGCCTGTACAGAGTCACTGTCCCCCTGCACTGTGTATCTGCTGTCTCATACCTTTTCAAGGTCATTGGCAGTCATGGTACTGAGCACTCGCAGGGATATTCAACGGTGCTGGTACATACCGTTCAGCTGACAGCTCGATTAAAAGGTTCACTAGCTGCCTCTCAGAGCCCTCTTCCCGTAAAACACAAGGCAAGCTCCCAGCTTTGGCGCTTGAGGAAAGGTGCGGGGACATGCTGCAGGCCAGCTCATAGCTACGCAAAGCTGGCAGCAAGGACAGACCATGTGCTGTCCCTGCTCTCAAGGTCACAGCCCTGCTCAAAGCATTTTGCTTCCCCAAAGTCACGGAAGTTGAAAAACCCAACAGCTGGAGGAACTTTAGACTCAGATGTTTTACGAGCACAACCCAAAATGCTGTGGTTTTTGGAAGAATGAAGTGTAAGCATTTTATCAGCTGATGGCCGTAACAGCATCTGCTTTGCAAACTCAAGCTGACGGGCAAAATGGACAGAGCTCGACTCAGTCTCTTTAAGACCATCCCTGCAGCTATTTTAATAGCGCACAATCCCCAGCACAGTATTTTAGAACGTGAACTGAAAGAGATTTCTGCATTTAGATGAGCTTGCACGGGAATTCAGGGACTCAAGGGATGCTGTCTGGGCATTTCAGAGACAAAAAGCCCCACATTAAAACGTTCAGTGTCCTCCGCTCCTGGTAAGAGGTTTGACTGCGGGCTATCGGCTCCACCTCACAGACAGCAAGCTGAAGGATCTGCTGATTACCTACTCATACGGCAGCCCCAGGGCCATATCCTTCAACGCGCAGGAACGAGAAGGGCCTGAGCTCCCTCAGCCTTGCTCAGGCCACAATGGCTAAACACACTGCAGACTGGGGTCTTCCTAAAGCAGCCTGTCAGCCTGTGTGAGGGGTCTGTGCTCTGATCCCTGCCTTCACTGAGCCTGCAGGCAAGGCAACAGAAAGGCTGCGTTGCCCACCCGGGCTGAGGCCAGCGCGGCCTTTACTCCCTCTGCGCTCTGGGCAGAGCCGAGCACCACGACAGCGTGCACCGTTACAGTAAAAGCATTAAACACAGCGGCGACCTGGCGTTT